CTCTTTATTTCCTGTGTATTCAGGGGAAATGCTATATTCAATGGTAACCAAGGAGGGGTGTACATATTTGGAGATGGACGGGGTTTGATAGAGAGCAACGATATCTATGGTAATGCCTTGGCGGGAATCCAGATTCGAACCAACAGCTGCCCCATTGTAAGGCACAACAAGATCCACGATGGACAGCACGGAGGCATCTATGTGGTAAATACACTCATCAGTGTGAAATTACTTCCGTCAGATATTTAACTCCATCAGACCATTTTTTTTAACAGCTTTTTTCTATGTTTGCGTTTCAGCATGAGAAAGGCCAGGGGGTGATTGAGGAGAATGAGGTTTACAGCAACACACTGGCTGGAGTCTGGGTGACAACAGGCAGCACTCCGGTCCTCCGCAAGAACCGCATCCATAGCGGCAAACAGGTCAAATATTTACATTTGTAGTTGTAATTAGATTGTTCGGGTTTGTAATTGACTTGTGGTTCAGTGACAGGTGTACTGGATTATGTACATGTGTTTCAACTGTTCTGTTCTGTTTATTGGATTATTATTGATATAAGATTAGCTGTTAGCTGGGGTCTAATACTCAGAAATGCTGCAATGATTGGGGTGTTCTCTTTTCTTTGCTTCATCCAGTCCTATAGGTATTTTACATTACTGCTTATGTAAAGTTATGTATTTGTCATTGCTGTACCTTTTCTTTTTAAGGTCTTTCTGTGTTTTGATTATTTCCATTTACCCCTATTTAGGTCGGTGTATATTTCTATGACAATGGGCACGGTGTGTTGGAAGATAATGACATCTACAATCACATGTACTCTGGTGTACAAATAAGGTAATGATTACCCCCTTCAGTAGTGAGGATACAATATATGAGCTCAAGCACACAGTTTTGTGAATTTTGTGATTTAAATGTTTTGTTGAATCTTGACAGGACGGGGAGCAACCCAAAGATCCGGCGCAACAAGATATGGGGAGGCCAGAACGGGGGGATCTTAGTCTACAACTCAGGTCTGTATTTTACCACCTTCAGTCTCATATGTAGTATGTGTGTGTACTTTTGTGTCTAATCCAGCTGTTAATGTATCAGGTCTGGGCTTCATCGAAGACAATGAGATCTTTGACAATGCCATGGCAGGAGTGTGGATCAAGACAGACAGCAACCCCACACTGAGAAGAAACAAAATACATGACGGCAGAGATGGAGGCATCTGCATTTTCAATGGAGGCAGAGGTACTGCAGTGCGATCTGTCAACGTTAACAATCGTCCAATTATTAAGAAAACATCACATAGCTTCTGAAATGTTCTCTCTGTTTGGTAGATATGATGAGGTTAATATATTGGAACTACTTGTGATTTTACTCCAGCATATTTATAGTTTGGTGTGTGTAACCTTTTTCTCCGTAGGCCTGCTGGAAGAGAACGACATCTTCAGGAACGCTCAGGCTGGCGTGCTGATCAGCACGAACAGCCATCCAATCCTCCGCAAGAATCGCATCTTTGACGGCTTTGCTGCCGGTTAGCTTTTTTAATTTTTTCAAAATCACTTCCATGTGGCTGCAAATTCTTTTTAATATCAATTTTTGTGACAGATTTAATTATGGCAGATTTAATCTTCTTCCTTATTCAGGTATCGAAATCACCAACCATGCCACAGCCACACTGGAGGGAAACCAGATCTTCAACAACCGCTTCGGAGGCTTGTTTCTCGCCTCTGGAGTCAACGTCACCATGAAAGGTAAAATCAGCTTTGTGTAATTAAAGTTAAGCTCATGCTGGTCATAAGCTTTGCCGTTTTATAACAACCATTATTCTCAACCTTTATTTTCTGCTCCTCTTATATCAGATAATAAGATTCTGAATAACCAGGATGCCATTGAGAAGGCGGTGAGCAGAGGACAGTGTCTGTACAAGATCTCCAGCTACACCAGTTACCCCATGCACGACTTCTACAGGTAAATGACAACAGGAAAAAAAAAGGTTTTTTGCTGCAACTAATAATTAGATAAATCTACAGCTATTCTCAAATTTATTTGTAACTAAAAATGCCAAACATTACTTTGTTTCACTCAGAATCAGACTTAAGCCTTTTATCATTTTATCTTTTTCATTAGAAGTTTTAAGATCTCACCATGGGCATCTTCCTTTTTGTTACCAGTTTTATTGTTCCTGATTTTCTTCTATTTATGTTTATAATCTATTTTCTCTGCAGATGTCACACCTGTAACACAACAGATAGGAACGCCATCTGTGTTAACTGCATTAAAAAGTGCCACCAAGGGCATGATGTAGAGTTTATACGGCACGACCGGTAAGTCTTTTCTTTCCTTATTGGCATTTATTTTCTGACAAATAATTATTTTGGGAACAGAAGCGGAGCAATGGGGTGAATAATAATATTCTTCTACCTGAAAAAGCAAATGTTTTAGTGTCATTATTTCATATACTTTTTTTTGCCATTTTCTTTCACTTATTTCAGTAATACTCTGATTGTTAATCCTTGGTTTCTGATCCTCTCAGGTTTTTTTGTGACTGCGGAGCAGGAACTTTGTCCAACCCATGCACGCTGGCCGGCGAGCCCACACATGACACGGACACTCTGTATGATTCAGCGCCGCCCATCGAGTCCAACACTCTGCAACATAACTGAAAGCATCCGGTCGAGTTACACTCTCTCACATAAGCATACAAACACATTACATTGCACACAGCCGTACACAGGCACACACATACACACTTAAAACACACAGTCACATACACACATCCACGTGCAGCCATAAGTACCCAGAGAGACTCTATGATTGTGGCGCTCTCAGATGGGATCAAGGTGAAAGGCTGCAGAGGAAGCAGCTTCCTGCCCACTGCAGACTGACTCGCTGCAGCAGAGTCAAGACTCCACTAGAGGGAGCAGTGGAGCTGAGGGTAGACTGACGGCCACAAGAGATTCTTCACTCGAGTATTTCTTATTGCAGTCTGTAGGCAGGGATGAGAAGGGCTATGCAGAGGGGCTGCCGATGGAAACCTGTGCTGCTTTGGCAGCACACGAAATCCCCCCCCCTCCCCCCACCCCTGATGTAAATCCTCAGTTCCCGGCCCACTTCTTCTTCTTGTTCTTCTTCTTCTTCACAAGAACTGCTGTCAAAGAGACTTCCTGCTTCCTCGCAGCTGCCATCCCCATTGGCTGCCCATGCGGTTGTAACTAGGCAACAGATGGGAGGATGTTCTGTTGTGTGTGGAGAAAGATTGTGTGTGTGTGTGTGTGAGGTGGAGCACTTGGGCTTTTTTTTAAAAAAAAGAAAAGGTTCTGATCAATGGATTTTATTTCAATGCTTTCTCATGTAGTTTTGTATTTTCAAGCAAAAAGCTGACTGTATTTGAATGTCTTTTATTTTATTATATATTATTATAATTATTATTTTTCTTTGGTTAGCGTCCCTCCTCCCCCGACACCCAGAGAAACTGCAGAAACTCTGACGTCCCAGTGGTGAAGTTCTTTCTGTGAAAGAGAATCTCGTTTAACACTAATGACCCTCTCCAGTATATTAGCTTCAATGGCAGGTGGAGGGACTCCACACTTGTATAAAGGTGTGTATGCGCGTGTGTAAATGTGTGTTGTGTACAGTGAAAGTGTGTGTGCGTGTGTATATGTTTATAAGTTGATGCAGTCAGTGTTTTGTGGAGAGGGTTCCAATAGGAGGTGCCAGAGCTCCTGTTAACTGGAACTGATGGGTCAATCTGCAGTACCCCGATCCCCCTACATCACCCCCTCCCCTGTGTATCGTGGTGACTGTGGCTCCTCATGCAGCCTGAATCGTATGCATGTACCATAACATCTAGACTTAATATATTGTGAAGTATTCAATAACCATTATGTAGATGCTAGTTGGAATTCAAAAAGGGGTATACTTTCTTAGAAAGACAAAAAAAGAAAACAGGAAACTGACCATTTCTAAGAAAATAAAACTTTATTAGATCAGAAGTGTCCGTCTCGTAAATTCACTCGCTATGATCGAAATTGACTTTCTGCAGAATTGCCACTAAAAGCTATGGTGTTGTTAAAGCTGTGTAGGTAACAAAAGTGAACATGTTGAATAACGTCCACAAAACAAACCTTTCTCATTTGCAGCTGATCAGAGTGGCAGGTGCTGCAGCTCCTCAGGAGTTTGGAAACTTGCTATTAATGATGTGATGCTCAGACTTAAGTAACAGAATCTTTTCATTGCACAGTTGCTGTTTTGAGGGGGGCTTAAAAAATATATTATTGTTAAGGAACGATTATTGGATCATCAAAATGTAATTTATTATATCAGGTGGCTGCAAATAAAGGAGGTTTACAGAAGACATTAACTGCAAAGAAAACTAGATGGTAGAGCGCATACCTCACACGGCCCAACAGTCACTTAAAGAAACATTTAAAATTCACTACACACTTTATTTGGACCTGCACACACTCATAAATATCAGTCTCCTAAATGTGCCTTATATTTTAAATCAAGATAACACTCTAGCAAATGTTAGTGGGGAAAAAAATCCTAGATCTGCGCCAAAATTTAATGGGTTCTTCCTTGTGTCATTTCACATTGAGTAGTTTTAATGTAATCCTGCTGACACACAAACAGATGAGAGACCTCCTCAGAAAAGGTTAAGTTAAAAATGAAAACCACAGAAAATATCAGGCTGTTTTGGCCAAAAATGTAACATCTGTCCAACATCTGGGTTAGAATTCACAGAGCAGCTATAAACACTGAACGACAGCTTGATGTTTTCAAGCTTATTTGAACTAACTATAACTGGCTCCATAGTGATTTTGGACATTTGTTTCTATTAAATTGTCCACCCCATTTAAATCAGAGTCCAAACCACATCCTCTACTGTTGAATCAGTTTCAGTGACGACGCATTCATGGAGGAATTATAACAGCTCAGCATTAAACCCAGTTAGTTTCAGTGTGGTGTTTCTAACAAACAGTGTGTAAACAACATACGGTCACGGCTGCTCATTCACGAATAATTCTTTATTGAAAAACAAAATGTTAGTGTGGTGATGTGTTTGTGTTACGTGAGTACATGAAATTAATCTGTGTTGATCAAACGGTTTTACCGCATCGGGAAAGGATGTCTGTGATGTATTTATTGTTCTTAGCTGCCATCTCTTGCTTCATTTTCCTCAGCTCCTTCTTCACCTCCGCCTCGCTCATGGTGGCAGGAAGTGACTTCGCCCTCTCCAGGAAGTTAAGGATCAGGCTTTCCCCCACCTGGCGGAAAGAGGAAGGGCATCAATTTTACAAAAGATTTACATTTAAACTGTTCGAGAGATAATAAGGTCATTTTCTGACCTGTACTACAAAGCAAATTGTTGAAACTGCAGCAAGATGGCAGCTTTCATATCCAGGATATTTTGTACAACAGGAGGAAATGAAGATGTCTCGTACATCTTTGTAAACCGTCTTGTTGACGTAAACAAGATAGTATTTAGTTGACATATATATTAATGAACATATATTTTCTAAAACCTATATTATAGACCATTCACTAGTGTATATAATGTGGTTAGGAATGATTATATATCCATGTTGTGATGACAGCAGGGTTCTGAGAAAAAGTTAAGTACTTGTTTGTCCGTCAGTCGTCTCTTGGCCTCGGGCTCTTCCTCTTGTGTCAATGTTTCGCCCGCAGGTTCCTGGAACTCCTCCAGCTCCTCGGCCTTCTCTTTCGCCATGGCAACCACAGCCGGCGGGAAAGAGGCCATCTCAGCGACATGGATACCAAAACTCTGGTCGCACACACCTGGACACACACGTACAGTCGCGGAAAATAATCAGTTAGAAGCATCTTATAGCCAACTCATCTTACCAAGGTTGAAATGATTAAGAAATAAAATACTTAATTCTGAACAATTAATC